CTAGGATTTTACCAGTCCCACCCAAATATTCTACCAAAGTGAATGATCACAGTTATGAAATGACAAGTCAAACAGATGGAGTATTATACAGTATTTATCTCTAACGTAAGTAACCATAAATACAGCTAGCAAATAAAATAATAATAGTGTTATTTAGTTTACTAAAAATGAAAATTGACCCTCCTAATAGAACGCCGAAATCATGTGGTAAAAAAGATTGAGTTGACCTAATAAGAATCTCACGCGCCATGTTTCTATCAACTTGTCGTGTAGATAGATAGATAAGTTTCAAAAGTCATACTAAAACATTGCACTCGGTCAATTAAACCCAACGTCACACGTACATTAATTTTGGCATTTTCCATTCATTACATTACACCTAATCAAATACTAGGAAAAGTGTATTTTATACGATATTTTTCGTTAATGTGTTACATATACTAATTTCGTTTATTTAAAATATAATTTTACTAGGTGAGGATAATTAACAAGTTAGCAAAAAAAAAAAATGCAGAGTATTTAGATAACTACGTGCATATTTTATTTTTGGATTTTAACCAAAAAACAAAAAAAATATTTTTGGGATAACTGTATAAATTCTACGAATATATTCAATCTAAAGATAGCAGCAGTTGACCTATTGGACACAAGATAAATTAAACAATTTGTTAATTCTTTAATTGACAAACCGTTAAAAAGATATAATACTAGAGCCAAAAAAATGTTGTATGATATTCTGATATATATTCTCTACCCGATAATCCCATCATGTGATTTATCGTTTCTTTTTATATAAAAAAACAAACGAATTAAAAATCCGTGAAAAGTATAATCTGTCTTTTTCATAAGGATCTGAGAGCGAAAAGGTTTTTGGGCTTCAAAAGGGTTAAAAAAATTAAATAAAAGACGGAGACAGGAGCGAGTAAACTCCGCCATGAGTTGGAAAAATCAGTTACGATTCCATTGACGCATTCACACCACAGATTCTTCTAACTTTATCTACTCACTCTAAAAAAAACTATCGATTTGGACAATTTAACAATGACTTTTTGGATCAATTGAATACTATGAAGAATTTTGGAGAGGAGGCGACGTACCGCTAAAGGCGATCCCGGAGGAAGCGACGACGCAGGTTTGAATAACGGTGTTTTCCTGCCGAGTGAAGGGCTGTTTTAGGAATCCAGCTTTGTGGAGAAGCTTTGTCCATGTTTTGACGAAGAAGAATCCGAGTAATCCGGCGGAGATGTTGAGCGACGGGATGATTCCGGTGGTGAGGTTCAGCTTCATGACGACGAAGGTGAAGAGAATCGAGAGGATGAAACTGACGATCATTGCTCTGAACGTCAGCTGCTTCTCCCACGGCGGAGGAGCCTCCGCGCTCGCCTCGAAAATCCTCTCCACGGACACTTCTTCCGTGGATCCTCCATCCACCGTCGCGGCGTTGTTGAGATCGTCGTCTTTCTTCGACCGCTCCACCTCCATAACTCCGATCTGACCTATAAATTACGA